AATTAACAACTTCTGATCAAAATCAAAAACATCGAATGAGATGTGTGGCTGGTAAAATTGTTATCGAAAACAAATCTCGTCAGTAGGTAATAAATAGTAGGTAAATACAATAATAAGTAGGTGATGATATAGGACAATTCCACAAGGAAAGAGATCGAAAATGATAATAATCAAATAAGTAACTATGTAACGTATACTATGTAACGATATAATATCTTCAAGTAATAATATTCTTGATACAAAGTAGATCCTAGAAGTATTAAAGTTCGATGATAAATACAATGAGGATCAGTAAATCGATACGAAATTTGCCCGAGAGAGTGCCAAAGAGAAAAAAAATACTAAAAACTTACATAATTACTTTGGCAATTCAACTGTTCGAAAGAAACGCAGAAATGACAAGACGATGACAAATGAGCATCGCTCGCATCGAACACAGTCGGGTGGCGGACCTCATCAAATTATTCCCCACTTAAAAAATCTCCGTAAACAAAAACGGAACAAGGGAAAAAACACTCGAGTCGCGGGCTAAAAAATTAGGTATTGGCAACATTGATTGATGTGTACTAATAGGGCGCGAAGAAATGAGGCCGCCACATAATTAAAGCAAAAGTGACATCTTCTGTCAACGACACTGTACTACAAATAGAACGGTCACGCCTTAACGGAGAGGAAGTGATTAGTGTTACACACTTATTAAAAATTATTGAGTGAAGGCACATAATTAATTTATTGGTGTGTTAGTGCTCTTGTCACACCACGATGGCAGTCTGCTACGCGAGGCATAGTTTATTTTTACTAATAAGACGCTAAAACCGCTGTTTGCTCAGCTAATATCGACTTTTTGAAGGAAAACTCAATGTAAATACCACCTACCAAATACCAAAGCAGAATCAAAAGAATGTCAATATTCTATTCCTATTGTAGGGCTTAAAATAATGAATTCGTTTTCATATCTATTTATTGCATTATAAAGGTATATAAAATCGGTTCAGTAGCTTTAGAGAGCCCTATAAACCAACGTTACCTATTTATAATAGAAGTGGATTCAATTTGAATTCTTACAGTCATTGTAATCAATAAAACATTAAAAAATGTCATCTGGCCTAAAAAAAGGATTTTTCAATCTTTCTTACCACAAAACATAACACCTCGTCAATCGAGGGTGGTGACTTTGTGAAATTCTAAAGCATCCCTTATCGGCGTATACATATCATTAGTAACGCAAAATAATGGGATACGGATACCTCGTGCCGTTTGCGAGTAATGATTAATGCTGTTACCCATTAATTCTTATTTTTGATGAGAAATTTGACTTTAGCTGTCAGCCGCCAGATCCAGATTAATATAGGCTGACTCTGCAAGTTACATTATGACGCTAGACGCTCTCCCGCGTGCGTACAGTTTAAATTGCGTTCCTTCGTTTTACTGTTTTGCCGAATTTCCGATATATTGTCAATGCTACGTGTATTGTATAATCATAACGCATTTATTAATCAGCATTAGAAACTAAATTCAATTAGGCAATTGTGTGAGAATATTCGCTGACAACATGATTGTATGTTAAATCAATAAACAGAAAAGTGCTAATAATGATTATAAATTAAGGAATGAAGATAGTAAACAAAATTTAACATGACTATCTAAAATCAAAATCAATATCGTTTATTCAGTCTAGGCTGTTACAAGCACTTGTGAATGTCGAAAAGCTACGCCATCAATACGAAATTTGTTAAAACAGTATGCATCCGAACTAAATATTCTAAAATGCATTACGATGCAGTGCTATATCAAATACCTTAACATCAAAGAAATTGATAGCATGGTAATACGATTCATCAAATATTTGGAACTGAATTCAAAATGATAGATCACAGAGCCAAATAAAATTCTTGAAGTACCGCAGCGGTGACATACGCGGATGGCATCTGGGGGAAGGCCGCGTGACTGGCTTTCTACGCCCTATGCATATTAGCTGACTGAAAATCAAAACTCGTTATTATTAATGATTCCGCACCATGACAATCTAAATATCTCTGACGGGGCGGCTAAAAGTTACGCACTAATCACACGAAATTACTTCAGCTAATTCCGCACTGAAATAAATGTACATCGTCACCAGACGCGATCGTTCGGAATCATCTTTCAAAACGGGAAAGAAGAAAAATCACTTAAGATTCAAAGCATTCAGCATCTTTATCTTTCGGATACAAGAGTTCATTTTATGACCATTAATTTTGCCTTTTCCTCGGGTGTTTTATCACAACGGCTGCGAGGCTCTGTCGCGCGTCTCATTAATCAAAAGCATTTGTTTACAACGAAGGGAATTTGATTTGATTAAAATAATTCGCAATATCCTTGATAAATATCACCCTCGGTCTCCGTTTGATCTTCACTAAAATTAATGGTGGAGGATTCAATCACGCAAATGTTGCCGACGCGGTTGTTGGCGTTTTCTAGATGACACTGATAAAATATATTGTAATAATTATGAATTCTCTTTCAATTAACTTGAAGATTCCAAGTTTTCAGCCACTATACAAAGTTGGATCGCTGCTAACCCATATAATGGTACTTAGAACTTCAGTTTACGCTTCATATTTTAGAGGCGATTAAGGAGTTAATAATAAAGGGAATCGAATTTTATTCATCTTTTAGCTATCAAAAAGATAATCAACAACAAATTGAACAAATAGTACTGTTTTTAATCCTAATTGAAGTATTGGAGCTTTCCTATATTTAAACAAATCTTCTTCTCCAATACAATTTTTTATATAAGTAATAATAATTAGTCTTATATGTCAATTCTTTATATGTACAAAGGTGACATATTGTTACTGTCACTATAATAAGGCCCACATGTAGCAAATTTTCTAAATCTTGATTCAACTAAAACTAGATTTATCCAATAAAAAAATGACAAAACGTCAATGCCAATTTCACATTATTTTATGAGCTATATAACTAGTTTTAACATAATTGAGATTTCGCTAAATTGCAGCAAGTGGACTTAACATACAGCATAGTTACATTGAGAACAGTAGCATGAGATAGACACAGCTTCGAGTATCTTCGTGCTTGGGGCATGCATGAATAACAACGTCCATCAGGGTAATGTGTGCCGCCCGGGACCGCTGCCCGCGCGGCTTAACCCGCCGCGCCGATTAATCGCACCTAATTCCAACCGAAACGGAATTAAACCGGACGAATGCATTGATCCCGACTATTTGTCCTGACTCAAATGACACTTGGGAGCATAGGTATCTGGCTATTTATCTCAATGTTCCCGTGAATGCAAACTGAATTGTTTTCATTTTATATTATATATTTATTTGCGATAGAATATGTATTTGACAAAATTTTATATGATTTACCTCGAACGAAAAATATACTTATAAGAATCAAAGTCTATCACATCTACAGTAAATTATTCGCAGGTAAATAATTAGTCTGCAATAACGTTTCTTATTAGAGTAAATACCCTTCAGTGATACTAAGCAAATTCTTTAATCTCTAAAGAAATTTCCAGCTCAAAATGTTAATCCACTTTAAAATGTTATTAGTGAAGCGAAAGAGAAAACAAAACAAACAGCACAAATTATATTAAATCAGAGATAATCTTGTCAATTAATTGGACTTAGCATTGAGAACCGGTTGCGAGCGCATGCGTAAATTAAACGAACCAAGATAATGCAAGAGCAAGGAAGCATGCCACTCAGATGAGGACAATTAATATAATTTAACTGAGTTACCTGGTATTAATAGCAAGATTACGAATGACGCGAAAACGGCTTTTTATCTTCAAATGAAGCATTGGCATTGCCAATGATATTCCATCAAATAATTGGTTGATAAGATTTCATAACAATTATCCGAGGTGTTATACTAATTAAAAATCAAGCCACTTTCTGATATTATAAATTCATTGATGGTGAAGCGCCTCATCAATTGTTTGTTTTTTGTGGTCGCAATCGAGGTATTATGGGTAATTTCTTTAAAAACTGCTCTAATCCGGCTCCATGCGAGCGATCGCCGGCTGACAGTGACACATCGGTACAAGGCCCGCTGTCCGACTGTAATTCTACCCCACACTGGCCGAGCCTTTATTTTACGAATACGATTTTATTTTCTGACGCGCACTTAATAGAAGGATTTACAGCATTTCTGCTTCTGTGTTGCGTTTAAACCCTTTGTTTAGTATCGAGGTTTTTGTTTTGGGGTGGGGGTATGTTGAATACCTTAGTTGTATTTATTATTATTTGATGTAGTTATAATAAAATGCTTAATGTTTAATAACACGAAATCCGTTTATCATAACATTATTTAAATAAAAAAAGACGTATATTTAAGTCTGAATCTAATCCAATTTCTTTTAATTGTTCCTTCTTAGGGCAAGGGTTTATAAATATTCATATTGATTCATAATAAAAAAAAAGAAATCAGGATTGTAACATTTAAGCGGCACTTCAATACGAAATCAAAACCGCGTATCTTTTGGAGCGTACCCACCGATCAATCACCATCCATTAAACACGGAAAGAAAAGCGCTTTTCCCCCAACGATTGGCCCTTGAATCGGCCCAATTTACATGAGAGCCGCTTTTTCCTCACATCCAGATTAGCCCCTGAATGAGTTTGATGAATTGTTCGCACCCCGCAAGCGAACCGAGCGAGCGGTCATTTGTTAAAAATACACCCGATCCACGGATCTAATTGTCTCCTCTAATTTCACTCCCTCCTGTGATATCTGGCCTCCGTTCAAATTGAAGCTATTTTTTACGTCTTTTAATTGCGCTACGTTGATTACTAGACTTACTAGAGTAATAACTACCAATGAGGGAGAAATAAAAAATTGGTGATAACTAAAAATAAGAACAAATTTAAGAAAATTCCTTAATCCCATCTCCACCATCATGAAGTGAATTCTCATACATCCTATTGTACACATGAACTATGCTTAAGGCAGGTACTTTTTACATTTGGGTAAGTTCGACTTCTTACCTTTCGAGATGTTTTACGATGTCCTCGTATGCCGCTCTACAATTCTCCCAAATACCAGATCTGCAGACAAAGAAAATAAAATGAATAAAATAAAGAAAGGATTAGAAATCACATGCTTTAAATAAGGTAAAGAATAGAATATTTAAGATAGTACAGTTAAAGTAATTAATGCTACTCTGGCACTTTTCTCAATCCCGGCCCAAATAAATTACTCGGTCTTAATCAAGTAACTATTTAAAAGACAAAATGTTGAAAAACAAATAAACTGTTATGAAGCTCTTAAACAAAAACTTCTAAAATGAAAAAGGGTTTGAATTGAAAAGGAATAATTATGAGCACTCAATATTAAATGTTCCGTTAGGTTGAACGAGGGGACGAAGAAATTAATTATGTTTTAAAAACAATCACTTATATTTGTATCGTAACAACTCATGCGTGATTGTTGAAATTGTTTCTCGGTTACTTTAGCTCTTTGTTTTCGATTAAACTTTCCTTTAAGAAAGGAGAAGAAGAAGAAAAGAATTATTCATTCAATTCTTAAGGACGGCGTCTAGCATTGTTATATTATTTGAACACTTCTCACTTTTCGTTGAGGGAACGAAATTGTCAAAGACCGTACGGCTAAGTACCTAACAAAATCTATATGTGAGGCATTAAAGTGGCAGTAAGACAGTAGGGTAGCCAGTATTGTGGGTCTTCCGAACGGAAGTGGGGGCACTCACTGTTTGTACTTTTCTAATAGGATTAGCTCACTTAGACATTTAACCTACGCGACTGGTGACCTGCTTAAAGGTTTCTTTTTGTGAACTATAGACGGTGGGGGTGCGTTGTGTTCAGTAAACTTGTTTCCAATGAAGTTAATGTACACAATAAATGCTAATGTATGTACCTAAACCTTGCACACTACATGTTAATTTTATTTGGGATGTTTCTGAGAATACATATTAATCAAGATATATAGGTTTATGTATTTTAATTTAAAATAGATTTGCTATATTGTACATGTTTGTGTTATATTTACTATTATCGTCTATCCGAAAGGACAAACTTATTTTTATTATTGAATCTAGTCAAACCAAGCTTATTACTAACCAAATTTTCTTTGCATTTCGTTTTACAGTCGTCAGTAACTACATTTGGCTATTAATGTTCCAATGAATTACTTTAGCTATGACAAATAACTTTAAATAATGAGTTAAAAATTTATTGAGTTAATTTGAAGCTCGTGTAATCTCTATGTGTACATGAGTACAAGTTGATTATTAATAGATGAAGTTATTTAATTTTACTAACAACAGAGAAAGATCTCTTAAAAAAATATTTTAACTGACTTTTAGCTTCATGTGTCTTACTTGATATCAAATTAACAATCGAAATTGACATTTTTAAAGCTTTGTGAACTGTGTATAATAATATATTTTAAACATATTTTTATAACATATGTTAAATTGAATGAATGAGTGGCCTTCGCTTTTATGTGGAAGATATTTTACATTATATTATATTGATTATATATAATCCATTATAGGGATGGCGACAATTTTTTTCTTCGTCTATCAGGTAGTATTGTACATGTATTTTTTCTTTATTCACATAATCAAAACATAACAGAGATATATGGATTTGCAATGTCGCATGACGTCACGCCTTCGTACAAATTTTACTTAGAAGTGAAGTCACGTAGGGGCTCGTGACGTCACTTCTAAGTAAAAATTGTCCACACCTTGACGCGCTTTATCTTTGTATTTTTTTGTTGATTGCAAAAGAAAATAATATTTATCTATTTTTTTTAAAATAGGTATAACTGACGGGCAATTTGTTTACTTTGCCCCATTTTTCACCCCTATTCTTGTTAAGGTATTTCATCCTTCGATGTTATATATAAGATATTTTACGTCTATAATTCTTGTTAAGGTACTGTGAATGAATTTCTGCTGTTTGATTTTATACAGACATGCCTTCAATTTCACCCAATATAACATATCTTTTAGAACACTTAATTTTAACTTTTTTATTCGTTCCTTCAACAGACGTGTTTTCTTTATATTTAACTAGCTTCCGCCTGTGATCTCGTCCGCGTTTTATTTTTATTTTTCAGATCCCACAGGAACCAAAGAATTTACCGGTATCAAAAATATACCATGTCTCAATCCAGGTAATAATTGACAATTTGTGGTAAATTGATGTGTTGCTGTCTGTATAATACATGCCTAAAGAAATACCACCTTATTCCACAACGCGTACTAAAGTTAGTCTTGGTTTAAACCTAACGTTCTCTCTGTCTTCCTTTTAGCTAACAAAAGTGACAGCATCTGTTTTGTCCAGGTTTAACGTCTCCGTTTTGTAATAAGGCGGATATAGTCTACACCGAAGCGCAATAGTAATATAATTTAAGAGTCTCACCTCGCGAGTGCTTCCATGTTGTGCATGGATTGTCCTTTGATAATGGAGCCGTCGGGTCGTGGTACCCCGTGGTGAGGCATGCCTGGTGACATGAGCGCGTGCTGATGCATGAAGCCCATGGGCCCAAGGTGAGTAGGCGGTGCGTTGTACCCGTTCGCGAGCAAAGGTGACTTCTCCATCCTCGCCATGTCTGCAACGAAAATGACTACTGATAATGCTACCTGTAAGATGTTTAGAAGGCACTTGCAATAAAAGAGGTCCTTCAAAGAGTCTACAAAGATACCATGACCATCGCAAGAAGATATCTTAAAGATTATCTGTCAAATGTTTGTCGTGGTCATTCTAGCAGTGCCGATAGAAGTAGTTGTGGCTTTACTAGTATTTATTTTGGGATATTAATCTACTAAGCGTTATTATGAAGGCAATAACTCAATAATATTGAAATATTATTGAGTTACAATTTTAAAGAGATTAAGCTGGTTTATGAAAACGATTAAATGTTCAGATAAATGCATTTACGCTTATTTATTTGAATTGCTGTTTTAATGTTTTATTGTTTGCTTTAAGAACCTATTTTCAAGAGAAGGAATATTGATTAAAATAAGCAGAGTAAACGTACAAGGTCCGCTGTTTCAGCTTAAACAACACAATCTGAATTCAATTTTGGAAATCTTCCTATAAATAACGCAGCACTCAGAAGTATCGCTCAGGTAAAATCCAATTAATGCCCAGTATTATCATTTAATTACACGTTCCAATAATCGAATCGCCCGTAAAACGGTGAACAAACAATAATAAAATGAGCAATGAATTTCGAGACTATTGTTTTCTGGGTACCACAAACAACCCAAGCAAACACGGAGGGGGTGTTGTGCAAATATTCTTAAAATGACCCCCGCGGGGGTAAGGGGGTAGGATAGGAGGTGCAGGGTGGTCCGTGAGGTCACCAAACGGACCAGGCGTCGGAAACAATTAACAAGGTGTCGAATTAAACGCGAGTTAACGGTTGGACCGTTAAAGGAGTACACCCTTTTCCATTGTGGAAGCGTTTTACAGAGGATTTCGGGATTGCTGAATATTAAATATTATGTGTTGCTTTGTTCCGCGATTAAGGGCGCAGGTATGTTGCGGCGTATCATGGAAAATTTCAATTATTAACAGGTATGGATGCAATGTCGCTGTAATTTGCGGTCGTGACGCGCGCTCGCTATCCATTTAGCTACGGATTTATTATTAATTCGCTTATACCGAAAAATTATGAGTGAGATATACACAAAAATAGGACAATGAATAACATTGACTCGATTTTATTAGCGCAAGAAAAGAAACTGTACCCCTAGCATGAACCATTACCGAAAACCAGATGTACTGTACTCTCGTTTCTCAGAACAGTCTTCAGAAAAATATAATCCCACTTCTCACGCTAGCACGAGCCAATATCGAATTCGAATAGTTTGCGAGTCCGAAATGTCATTGTCAAATTTTGTTTGGAAACTTGAACAGCAGCACCACACAGGCGCGGTCCGAAGGGGGGGTCACAGGGGACATGACCCCCCCCCCCCCCCAAATCTAAAGTCAAATTGAAAAATCTCAAAAATTTGTCAAATAATAGAAGGAAATTTCTAGCTATCTCCTAACAGCGATAAATTTATAGTTTGCTGACATCTAGTGGTGTTTTTATGAACTACGTACGATGGCCAAAATAACTTGGAAATGACATCTAGTACTAGTTTAGAAACAAGGAACCGAACTACGTAGTTTTGGTAATCCTAGCAAAATCGATATGCGTCGTTATGATAAAGATTGTATAACAATATTCTAATAATGTATTTTGTCGGTTTATTGTCAAGATTCAAGATAAAGGCTGCTTAGTTAAAAACGTGGTTGAGAGCTAACATGTTAGAAGAGCGATTAAGAGATTTCGCTCTTCTAAATATTCACCCGGAAATAGTACCAGACGTCTCAAATATTATCACCCGATTGGCAAATATAAAAAGACGACTTCCATTGATTTTATAAGTACTAATGTATAAAATAAATGTGTCTTGTGCAATAATGTTTATTTTATTCCAGATACCTATTTTAAGTGTTCCGTACTCAAAAGGAAAAACGGAACCCTTATAGGACCACTTTGTTGTCCGTCCGTCCGTCCGTCAAGACCGTTTTTCTCAGGAACGCGTGGAGGTATCAAACTGTAATTCATATCTAATACTCAGGTCTAGTGTCCCTTGGAGCTGTGAAAAAATCAAACTTCTAAGCCAAAGCAATCAAAAGGTACAGCCGTTTATGCCGCAAATTTTCGAAACTCGCACGGGAATCAAAACCCACAGGGTACTACTTCCCGTGAACTTAGAATCTTGGAATTTGGTACAAAGTAACGTCTTATAGTACAGATAAAGGAAAAATTGCCAAAAACCGAAATTTTTAGTTACATCATATAATAAAAAATATTTTTGAAAATTCAGGTGTGTACGGAAACCTCGGTGCGACTCACACTTGGCCGGTTTTTTTTATTAGTTTAGTGAGTGACCCCCTCCAAAATTTCAGGCTGCGACCGCGCCTGGCACCACAGAGTACGTAACGAGAACTAAAAATCAGTACACATTTGACAATGACATTTCGCACTCGCAAACTATTCAAATTCGATATTGGTTCATGCTAAGGGTGCTTATACGAATACTCTCGTTTTTGAGAACAGTTGGCAGAAAAATGGAATCCTACTTCTCAAACTACCCTTATTTGAAGCGTCTTTGATAAAATAAATTACTTTATTTGGATCAGTGAAAATTTATTAATTTTATTATATTATTTATAATTTATTTCAAAAACAGCGAATGGCGGACTTAATGCCAATCAGCATTGTCTACCAGTTGAAAAATAAGAGTGTGAGAAAATAAAATATTACGATGGTGCAATAAAGACACATATATTAAACCTGGGTTGGTATGTAAATTATAAGATAATTATGAGTACACGATCTCTGGTTCAGATTCGTCACTAAATTTACTTCGATGAAAGATGATGCTATAATTTTCTAAGCGATAGCTATTGTTGTAAATAAAATAAAATAATAAAATACTATTGCTATAAACAATAAGGAAACAGGCTCTCTTGACAACCATTAAAGGAGATTGCTCAAATTGGCCCAAATGCACAAAAAATATTGACATACACGGTAATTCTTGGCGTAATTTATAATTTAATTTACAGTCATTACATTTCAACGGACACCTTTGTATAATATATTTAAGTACTTTAAAAAGGACTTTTAATTTTACCGGTTCGGAAAACATACGAATCATTTTTAATGGCATGGGTGTAGTAACATTCAGCCAAAGACTGATCGAAGTTGTTTATATAACATAAAAACAAATCAATTTTGTAAAGATCGATAAAATAATTCATTTTTTTATTACAATGTGGTATTAATATCCACAACTTTATTATCATTTTCACTTCATGCAAATGTGCTCAGACAATTATTATAGATGGTAGGCGACATCATAAAGTCTATTGCCATACATTTTTCGCCAAACACCTCCATAAACGCATTATAATCTGTATGTATATATAAAACTAAAGTTTTTACGGGTTAATGCACGAAATTATATTTATTTATTGACGTTTCGTAGCCTTTACAGGCTACATCTAAACTAGTTTTATTTAATGAGTGATGTGCGTGAAAACCTAAAAAACAAATATGTATGTATATATGTTAGACTTTAAGGTATCTATGGGCCTACGTTGCCTGACTATAAATTAATAAATAAATATAATTATAAGGTGTGATACACTAAAAATCTGAAATATGGTTATATTAAAAACATAACAAAAATAATGAAGCTATTGAATATATGGCTATATAACCTAAATCTCTTAGCTTTCTTTGGTTAACGAGAGTTTAAAAATTCTCTCTAATCTGTGGCTCATTCACAATCATCACACAGTTTCTGTCACAGAGTACCCTATTATAACCGGAAATGCATAGATGACACCTGATTTTAAAAGTTACTCTTATGCATTAACTTTAAAAACAGTCAACTATCTGTTAATCTACATGCTCTATTATACCTGAATGTAATCCATAATTTCGGTACTTGGCTTGATTTCCCTAGTTTACTGTATAACTTATTTGTTTTTTATTATTTTAATATGTTCAGTGTATATGGTTTATAGAAGTTCTCAGGGGTGTCCGTCAATAATATTCGTTTGTACAGTAATTTATATATAATTTCGAGTCTAGGAAACAATTTTTCATGATTATTGGTCTTTAGACCAAACATGTATGGAAGCTGAGCAATCTCCTTTAATTGGTATATCCGAGTGCGGCTGTTAGACAAGTTCGTTGTCAATCATAAATCATCATCATCATCAGCCTATTAATGTCCCCACTGCTGGGGCACAGGCCTTCCCTGTGGATGGAATAGGGAGATTGGGCCATAACCTACCACGCGGGCCCAGTGCGGATTGGTGGGTGCTAACGACTGCAGATGCAGCCGGGACCAACTTAGGTCACCCATCCAATGACCGACCACTGCGACAGTTGCCTAACTTCAACGATCGCAGCCGAACGCGCTAACCACTTGCGCCATCGGGCATAATAATCATAAATCAAACTTTGAGATTTAAGACTACAAACAACGCATAAAATTTTTAATTAATTAAAAAACAGATTGTTTTCTCTATATTTGTCGGACACAAAGTACTCACAAACAAACATTATGTCCAATAGACCCTGAGTTAATATGAGCGGTTTATTTACACTGCGAACCTACCCGTTATCTTCTGAACCATACACCACTCAAACTCCGTACATTTTAGAATAATTAATTATTCAAACTACATTTGTTCTACCCAACTATTCTGTGATATATGGGTTTACTATATTCAGACGAGAAGCTAGATGGCGCTGTGCTTTCTTGTAACATGTTCAGTAGTACAGATAGTGCAATCCACGAAGATGCGCCCCACCAATTTTTGGTTGAAGGATAATTAGTGATAAAAAGATAATTAGATAATTACCATATTATTATATTATTATTATCATATTATTATTATCATAGATAATTAGTGTGTACCGATAACACTCAAATATTGGCGGAAGCTGGCACACATGGCGGAGTCTTCGTGGATTGCAATATCTGAAATAGCGGAGGTCTTTGTGTTAAAACGATCGTATAGCCAGCCTGATGGTTAGCGGCCACG